GAGTGAGAATAAATATTGATTATTTATATATATATATATATATATGTGTGTGTGTATATCTACATTGGTCCAGCTTGGCACCATGTAAGTGTGGATAGATAGATATATAGTGCCTCGCAGGATCACGGGCATTCTATGAAGGAAGATGATAGGGATGCCAATCTTGGTGCTTTCCTTGTTTTCATCCTGCTGTGCTGGAAAAAAAGTACTGCATACTGTACATGTGTATAGGTGTGCGCTGAAAAAATATACAGCATGCAGTACTTTTTTTCCAGCACAGCAGGATGAAAACAAGGAAAACGAATACTTACATTTCCTGGGACCCACCCCACCAAACACTGACCCTGAGAAATCTTCTTCTAAAGTCCACAGGGAAACCAACACCCTAACAGTTCTCATTGGTTCCTCCTTCTTCTGACTTCCACATTACTACTGTTTCCTGTAACTGTGTGGAGATCAGCAGAATACCCAGATCCACACTGCCAGAAATGTCAGATTTCTTGGGATCAAAGTGTTCACCGGTGTGGGCATGCAGCTTAAAGCAGCCCTGTCGATATACAAAACTGACTCAAGCAAGGCATACATGTTCTAGATAAATGTAAATACTTAGCTTGCCCACTGCTCACACTGGGGAATTCTGCTCTGATCTCAGGAAATCTTTTGTTAAAGTTCACAGGGAAGCTGAAGCTTTCGGGAGTGTTGATGTTCTAGGTCCTCCTGATGACCTCCACATCAATTACAGCATACAGTAGAGAGGGACACATGAGAGCTGTGAGGGACCAGAGAGATTGAAACTCTCAGAAGTGTTGGATCCCCAGTGAATTTTAGCAGAAGATTTCTCCGGATCTTCCTCTTGTATGGAGAAGTGTCCATTTATTATTTTTGTGTTGGTGAAACACGGACCTTTTTAAATATGTAAAACGGCCTTGTTTGAGGACAAGTCTCTAAAAGATGGACGAAACGTCTCCTCATGGTCATTCTCAAGGAGAGCTCTTCCTTGTAGCCTTACAAATCATAGGCTTATGTTTAACAACTTGTCCTGTCTTTTTATCTTTCAGTGGGGTTTCCAGCAACGACTTCACCGGCTTGGAAAATCTGTGTAAAAAGATCATGAAGGAGAAGCAGCAGTTTGAGAGGTTGGAGATCTCCAAAGAAACACTTCTGGAGATGTTTAAGGTAACACTAGAGTTCTGAGGACAGGCTATCATTAGAGGTGTAGTGATGGTTCCAGGAGACGGGCACCTGTCGGCACTGGTTTAAGAATTCTGTCAGACTTGGCCAATGTCATCTTTGCCATGCAGTCAGATCTTTTTTCACAAATATGCTCACTCAGGATCTGTGGAGAGTCACCTGATTCTTGGGTCAGGCGTCATGAGCTGCATGATTCTCACCAAAAAATCATGCAAATCTAAACCAGAAAAGAGTCAAATGATCTCCCTGGCTGTGCAGTGTGGCAGAGGTGTGTTAAAAGCCAGGTAAACTAGTAAGAATGTATTTCATCTGTGTATTTAGCTGTGTGGCTGGAGGTTCAATTTAAAGTCGATCTAAACCAGGAGTGGGCAACTTCGGCCCACCAGTTGTGGTAAAAATGCAAATCCCATCATGGCTCTGCCTCTGGGAGTCATGCCTGTTGCTGTCAGATTCTTGCATTTCCCCATGGGACTTGTAGTTCCACAACAGCAGGAGGGCCAGAGTTGCCAACACTTGCTCTAAACCCAGTTGCTAAAATCTCATCTAATCTTTAACACACTAATGTCATTTTTAAAGTTGTATTCAACTTTTTAAAATCTGTAACGTTAATTAAAATAGTGCCTGATGGTCTTGCCTCAGTGGTCTGTGTTCAGGCCTGTTATGGAGATGCAGCTGTTTCTCGGTTTTGCTCATGTTATCACATGCTCACCTCGGTTGAGACTACCAGCGTGCGTGCCAGATCAAATTGGTCCACCGTATCTGGGAGCCGGTCCAGAGCAATGATGTGCAGCAGACACTGGAGGGGGGTGCATGTAGACCGGGAGTGCCTGAAAGAGGCTGGAAGGGTTCAGCAGTGCTGAGATACAAAACAGGTGAAAAAGTATTTTTTAAAAATACCCAGGGCTATAGAAAGTTAGATGTCGTTCTGTTAGAATTTGAGATTTACTTTACTTAAAGGAGAACTATGAGGTGAGATTTTCACTCAACCTCAAAGTTCGAGCCTACCTGTGACAATTAAACTGTCACACGTCGGCTCAATAGATCTCGATCATGTCCCTGCAGAGAGCCGTGACTGTCACTCACAGCTCCCTGCAGGAATTCCCCCCTTCCCTGACCGATCCCCCAGCGCTGACGGGTGGAACGGACGGGGGAGGGGCGGGTACAGCTGGCTCTGCCTCTAGATAGGCAGAGCCAGCTGTCACTCGCGCAGCTGGGTGGATCTCGACAGTAATGCCAGGATCCGTCCCGGCTGCGGCCGTCTCAGTGTACCGCGAGCTGTAGCTCACCATATACTGAGCATTGGGTCACGGGAGGATGCTTGTTTATGTCCTCCCGTGACCCTTAGGAGAACTATGGGGAAAAAAACCCACACCATAGTTCTCCTTTAACCTGAGATACGAACCAATCTCTGGTTTTCTAGATTTTGTTGGCTGGGTAGTACTGTGGCTCTTTTGACAGTCTTCAGTACGGCAATGTCTAAAATTACTTTACTTTATTTCTGCTATCCGTACACTTGAATCCCCTGTTCAGAGGAGGTAGAAGGATATTAGTTTCTGCAGGTCCCTGATTCAGTAACAAGGACTGGTTTAATGGATTTGTGCTAAACAGCGGCTGCAGTCTATTTACAATATAGATTACAATACCTTTTACAAACAGGCGGCTTAGTCTAATCGTAGTATGGATTACAAAAGGCACTCCTGTTTATTTTAAAGGGTGTGGTGACATTGTAAATATACCACATAGTAGAAATGTCATTGTTAGAATTCCCATTACTGAACAAGCGAGCGAGCAGAGTACTGTCCTGCATTAACCCCTTCATGACTGAGGCCCTTTTTTCATTTTTTGCACCCATGTTATATTCCACATTTTAGGCCTGAAAATGACTTAAAACCCCCAACATTATATATTTTCTGAATGCCAAGACCCTATAGAATAAAATGGTGGTAGTTGCAAATTTTTATGTTGCGCAATATTAGCGCAACTCCTTATTAAACCCCAACATTTAGTGAAAAATTTAATGCACCAAAACACAACGAGTAAAACGATACCCAACATGCATAGGTTACAAATTGCGTGCGTCCGTGAAACGGCGAAAAACTGCAGTACCCCAAAAAGTCAAATCTGTTTTCACAAAGCGATAATTTTTCCACTTTATAGATCGCTGGTTCGGCCTTGTCTTGAGTATGAGGTTCAGTTTTGGTCACCTATCCACAGAAAAGATGTCCTTGAGCTGGAGAGAGTCCAGAGAAAGGCAACTAAACTAATTTAAGGGGCTGGAGGACCAAAGCTATGAGACAAGGTTACTAAATTTAGACTTGTTCACGCTGGAGGTGCAGAGATTAAGGGGGGGACATGATTTTGAAGTACAAGATGTTTAGTGGTGATGGCAACATCAGCAATAAACATTTTACTGTAAACTCCATAACAAAGACTAGAGGCCACCACCTAAAACTGGTGGAGAAAAGATTTAACCACAAAGGGCGTAGGGGATTCTTTTCAGTTAGAGTGGTTACATTTTGGAACTCTCTGCCACTAGCAGTGGTATCAGCTGGGAGTATTTGAATCATTCAAAAATCAATTTAGATACCTTCCTCAGAGACTGTAACATACAGGGGTACAGGTACTTTTAAACCTAAGACCACACAGGGACATATAAACACACACACACACACACAAACACACACAGGTTGAACTCAATGGACTTGTGTCTTTATTCAACCTCAAATACTATAACTATGTAACAACAATTAAGCCCCACTCCAGGCAGGAAAAAATAAACCCTTGCAACATATAAAATAGATGTTATCCCAATTTGGCTACAAAAGTGGAAACACACTTTAAGCTGTCCATAGACAGGAGATTCGAGTCGATCTTATATCTATGGCTGTATTGACTTACTACCAGCTGACCGCTCTCATTGGGATAGATTGATGAGACGGATGAAAAAGAAAAGCCATTTTCCCTCTTCCAGGTATACAATGATGGGAGATGCCTGCTAGCTCCTCTCCCCTCCTCCAGACATTCCTCAAAGTCTGTTCACATCTATAAACGTTCACATTAATGTTCATTTATTTGTTTTCTTTGTTTTTTTAGTACAACAAGTTCAAGTGCAGAATCTTGAACGAGAAAGTGGACACTCCAACAACCACAGTATACAGGTACGCAGTTGCCTATGTGACATCACTGTTGTTGGTTAATTCCCTATTGAGATAACATCCATCCATCTTCCTAACCAAACAGAAAGCACCCATGGTTCATTCACCCAAAATTTACCTGCAGGTCATTCGTATTGGTGCATCATGGCCCTTGCTTGAAATGTGCCTTGTTGTGATAAGCTTGGTTTTGAGTGAAGTCTGTGGGGATTGCAGGAGGTCCCAGTACTCTGGCTTTCACCTCTGACGCTTATATCAATATTTCTGAAAAAAGTGAGCAACCCAAGTACTGGCACAGAGCATTCTTTCAGGGCTTTCCATGCTTGGGCACTGGAAAGTGTTCCCAACATGCAGAACAGAATCTTGAATTGCAGGTCACATGTCGGTTAGTGTAATAGTTCTTCCCTTGGCATTATATGTACAGGGGAGGAGAGATGAATGGTTTTTCTACCAATGTTTCCAATGAAAACTATTTGTGACAATAAATGTATATTGCACAGAACTCTTACCATTCCTGGAGTATTTTTATGGAAACCTATAGGCATCTCTCTTTCAAAATGCTAGTCACCTGCTTGTCATGCTAAACCCCGTAAGGCAGGGGTAGCCAAACTGCGGCCCTCCAGCTGTGGTGAAACTCCAAATCCCATGATGCATCGCTCTCCGGGAGTCATATCTGGGGCTGTGAGAATCTTGCAATGCCTCATGGGATTTGTAGTTCCACCGCAGCTGGAGGGCCGGAGTTTGGCTACCCTGCCGTAAAGCCTTCTTCCTTTTGTCTGATATTCCTGATCCGCATGCTGGTTCTGGATTAGTGACTCAGAGTATTGAAGCTAATGGGTCAGCATAACAGCCAGGCAAATTGAATTATATTTCAATACTGCAAAGGTCTGTTTTAATGGAACTAAAGTGTGTGTGTTTGTGCAATGTACATAGATCTTGTTGTAAAATATCTGTTTTATTTTATTCTCAGATGTGGCCCCTTAATCGATCTTTGCAGAGGACCCCATGTGAGGCACACTGGAAAGATTAAGGCTTTCAAGATACACAAGGTACCAGGCATTTATAATCGGAATAGCAGTGCAACATTGCCTACAGGTTTTGGCTGTAAACCCCTTTGGTGAAGTTACCCTTTTATAACCCCTTGCCCCCTAAATGCAGACAGCTTGGACTTATACTTACCTTCAGCCCTGATCTAGTGATTTTACAACTGACATGGATGCGGCTGGCTCCTCTTCATTCTGCACATGCGTGTTGTAACTCCATTCATTCCTATGCGTAGCCATATTCATGCCAGCCTTCACATGGGAATATGGGAGCATCTACAGGGGGGGTGGAAATGTTTTTTACAAAACTACTTGTCCAAGGACTTAAGCAGGGGCCCAATCTACTTGTCCCTCTTGACCAAGGGTAGCCAAACTCCGGCCCTCCAGCTGTAATGAAACTACAAATCCTATGATGCATCTCTCTCCGGGAGTCGTGGCTGTGAGAATCTTGCAGTGCCTCATGGGATTTGTAGTTCCACCACAGCTTGAGGGCCGGAGTTTGGCTACCCCTGCTCTTGACGATCAACTTGTCCCGATACAAAAAATAAACGGAGTTGATTTTTATATGTATTTTATTTTTTAACTTTTTTTTTTATCAACTTCTTTTTTTTTTTTTCATTTCACTTTATTGCTGTCACACAGGGGCTAACAAGCCCCGAGGTGACAGATTCTCTTTATGGAGCCTACCCTCCAATACAGAAGATCGAGCAGATCATTGTACTCGATATCTTGTGCAGCCTGGCTTGTGACAGCTCAAACCGGAAGCTCTGCGAGTACACTGCTCCTGTCTCACTGATCACACAGAGTGGATTGGAGAACGGACATTATCCGGTCTGTTTTCTGCTGTCCATCCTGAAGTCATTTGCAGTGGTCCCGGGTCCCCAAGAAGGGTAGGCTGTGTGCAGACACTTTTTTGCTCTGAGTGCACTGAATTAAAAGCATTAGAATGAATTGGCATATAGATATATAATACATAATACACACGTTAAGATTCTTAAATGCATATTTTGTTTTGGATATCCAGTTGTATTTATTGTCATCATATTGTTTGTAGAACTCTTCCACCTACTGGGAAGGGAAGGCTGATATGGAAACCCTGCAGAGAATTTATGGAATTTCATTTCCCGACCCGAAAATGCTAAAAGAATGGGAAAAGTTCCAGGAAGAAGCCAAGAACAGAGACCACCGGAAAATTGGCAGGGTAAGTTATTATGGAGACCGTTCTGTGTTGTTTTCCACATGAGTAGGATAAGAAGAGACTTGCTGGGAACAGATTGCTTCCCATGGTCCTCTCCTTGTTCTCTGGTACCAAGGGAACATCTGAGTGAAGCTGCTCAGCTTGATTGTAAAGCTGCCTATACAATGGCAGGTTGGGGTGGTCAAGACTTCTTTTATAAGGGCTGGTTCAACTTGCAGCAGGTTTGCTATAATAGCTAATCCGAAAGTTCTAGCTGGTGCTGTCCTCCCCATATTGTTCAGGAGAAAATTATGCCCATCGCCCCACAATAGCCACAATCATCTGCCAATACAGTTCTTCCATCCTGGCCTTTTCATATCTGAATGGATGTTTCCCAACTTTGCAAGTCCCAGGTGGTTTATACATTGTTTCATTGTTTAAAATGATTTTTCTTCATATGGAACATTTTGCGCTTTTATGGTCAGTTCACCTAAAATCCAATTTTTATAATGGGTGGAGCTGAGTTATCCACTGACCTTTTTATATATCCTATGGTGAGACCTCTCTGCCACATTTCTTGGCTCTTTTCACATCTTGTCCCCACCACTTCTGTTGCAGTATCCAAAACCATAAAATAAATAAACCATCAAGTAGAGGACCCCACTATGTAATGGGCATGGCATGTGTTACCGCGACCATGCCATAGTGTAATTGGCAAAACGGGGACCACAGCGGCAATACAAATGAAACCACGGCCTTGCTTAATAGAAATTTAAGTCTTATACCTACTGTTTGGTGCTGCAGAACTTGGAAAGTGGCTAGGGGAAACGTAGCTAGCCTTAAGACAAGGCTTTTGATGATTCATGAGTACTGGGAGTAAAGAGTAAAGGAGAATGGTATTATGAATTTCAAAGGGAACCTGTTTTTTAGTTCTGCAGGTTTTAAAGCCTCCTTCCCTGCCACTCTGTTTACGCATTGGGAGTGAAGAAATACAGCCCTGTGTAAGTTCGGAGTGTCTCTACTTGGAGTCTACATGGGGCTGGTCCAAATGCAGAGGTCTCACCAGCACACCATTTATGATAAGTGTGAACAGGACATTGCCACCATAGAAAAAGCAACATTTCAGGACATGCTTCTCATACAAATAATATCACTCTTTGTCTGTTTGAGCAAGGGTTCCTCAGCTGCCGCGAAACTGGTGACAAATGTCCTGTTTACACTCCTTTTTAAAGTGGCCTCGTTCTATTCTCTCTCAAAATGTGTTTTTTTGTCCCCCCCCCCCCTTCATATTCAGTATTTTCTGTTGATCTCTCTCCTTGTGTTTCTTTGTATACAGGACCAGGAGCTGTTTTTCTTCCATGAGCTGAGTCCCGGGAGTTGTTTCTTCCTGCCCAAGGGAGCGTTCATCTATAACCAGCTGATTAACTTCATCAGAGTGAGTGCAGTACTTGCCTGCTCACATCAGTGGCGGCCATGTTGCACTTTGATTCTGTGTTTTATAAAACCATTCACTCGTAACTAGTCAGCAGGCACATATGAGGCTAAACCTGAATCCAGGAATATACTGCTTGTTGTTTTATTATTGACATCCATGGGACACTCGATGGAGGGAAGGGGGACTCTGAAAGGATTTTTGTGAAATTTATGAATGGATAGGATTGCTGATCATTGGATGTTTTATACATTTCAAAATCTGCGCTTTATACTTAAAGGAGAACTATTGGGAGAGTAAAATATACTCTTCCCACACCGGCTCTGGAGCTCGAGAACTGAATGATCACAAACCGCTGATCGCCCAGCTCATGGCTTCTCCCTGCAGAGAGACATGACTGTCAGTCACTGCTCCCCTCAGGGAGTCCACCCCTCCCCTCTCTCTGCTTCTCCAGTGTGCATTGGAGGGACAGAGAAGGGGAGGGGGTGGGCATGGCTAGCTTTGACTCTACTGAGGCAGAGCCAGCTGTCAATCAGGCAGTGGGTTGGATCCTGGCAATATTGTTGGGATCTCTCCCGGCTGCAGCAGTAGCCTGCTATATGCTGACTTTGGGTCACAGGAGGACATTAGTAAATATTTTCCTGTGACCCAAAAGAAAACTATAGCCCAAAACATGTTTGGCTGTAATTCTCTTTTAATCCACAAAGCACGTCCAATTGGTCAGTGTTCTCTTCTGACACTTTTTTTGTACTTCATCTAACCTTCTGATAATGACAACAAAATTGTTCAGATCATTGGACATTGTGGCTCAGCATACAGGTACCATAAAGAACACCCATAAGTGAGCTGCAACTTATAAATGCTCAGACTGGTTTATGAAAGATTTGTATCTGGGGCCTTATTTGGCTTTTACTTTGTGTAAGGTTATTTCTTCAGCTTGAGAATCAGAGTTCATAGGTCACCTGAAGTCTTATGGATGGTGCCCTGACTCTCAAGCTGAATAGACAGACTCACACAATGTAGATAAAGCTAAATAGGGGGCAGTATAAATCTTTCACAAGTAAAAGCCTGAACTCCAGGCAAACCGATAAATACACAGATGAAGTTCATATGGGAGCTGTTTTACCTGTGAAATTATTTGTACCGTGTTTCCCCGCAAATAAGACAGTGTCTTATATTTTTTTGGCTCAAAAAAACACACTAGGTCTTATTTTCGGGGTAGGGCTTTTTTTTTTAAATGTACAACAATCCACACTTATTCATGTACAAAAATATGGTAATCAGGGGTGCCGTACCTTTCCAAGAGCAATTTGGTAACTAATCGATGGCCAGAATGAGCGAAGCGCGCTTTCACTATCATTCCTCACAGGCGGAGTGCATTTGGTATCACTCCGCCTGTGACAGGAGCCGGCGCTAATAGAGGAGGCATTGGCTTACGCGATTCTGCTCCCTCCGCTGCCGCCTCGTTTCCTCTAGCGCTGGCTTTGTTGGCACCGCTGATTCTCTCCTGCATTGGTGCCACCAATGGCCCTGGGAATGGTCACAACTAGGTCTTATTTTCAGGGTAGGTCTTATTTCTGGGGAAACAGGGTATATCTGTCCATACAGTTCTAAAATTTACACAGCTGTGGCACACAGCACATCCCAGTCTGACAAGGCAGTCCCCTACTACCAATGTCTGTCTCTGCTTTCCAACCTCATTATGCCCATCCTTACTGGTGCAATCACTCCCCTGATTGGCAGAGGAAGTGTCCTGCTCCAGCAATGTCGCTCCTGAGCTAATATCCCCATAATCATGCAAACGGGAATACTTATTGGGGTGTATCAATTTAGGACTAGCCCCTCTTGCTTTTTTCCCTCTACCCCGCCTTCTAATGTAATCCAGCTACCCATCTCTGTATCCTGCCCCTCTATATCACCTTCTTCCTCTATACCACCCTCCACCAGAACCTGAGTTACGACTGAGGCTGATGTATTCACTTATTTAGGAAACAAAACTGTAGGGTACTCATACCAGCCAATCGGATTCTAGCTGTTACTTGCAGTAGACAAAAAGAGCAAGAATCATAGGCATACATAGGACCTCCTGTTCTCCCACCTTTACATATCAGCCTGCTGTCTATAGGTGGTCACTACTATAGTTTAATAGATGGCAGTGTGCTGGAGTCTGGTCTTCCCATCAGGAACACCATCAGAGTGATGTTTATACACTGAGTGGCCAGATTATTCTGACCACCCCATCAGTACTTCGTTGGGCCACGAGATGACTCCACGAGATGACTTCGTTGTGCCGCCTCGTGACTCCACGAGATGATGAAAGGTGATGCGAGGAATCTGACACTGCACTGTTGCCCTTCTGTTGTCTTGTACCAGTCTTGCCACTCTCCGTTCTGCCCTAACATTGACTAGTCGCTGACGGCCACAATTGGCACGTTCAGACCCAGATTTTCGGCTGACAGTCCAGTCTTTAAACACTTTAACAGCAGCTGCTCTTGAACATTTAACAAATTCTGCTGTTTTGCTGATACTCGCTCCGTGGCTCCGCGCGCCAACAATCATCCCACGTTCAAAGGCTGTTACATCGCGTTGTTTCCCCGTATCTTCAGAAACAAATCACTTCTACTGTCGTGGTAAACAACCTGCTTCCCTATTTATAATGGTCTGGCCCTCTAGCAACTTCAGCGCAAAATTATAGCTAATTTGCCTACAAACGTCAGGTGGTCATAATAATCTGGCCACTCAGTGTATGTTTACTGGCTTTCATGTTTGCTATATTCCACAATGCAAAAATATACTGGTAGGGTGATTGGCTTCTGATCAATATTCTTTGTTTTGTTAAATGTCTACCTGTGTTGTGTTTTTAGCAAGAGTATAGGAAAAGGGGCTTCCAAGAGGTGGTCACCCCGAACGTGTATAACAGCAAGCTGTGGCAGACATCCGGACACTGGCAGCATTACAGTGAAAACATGTTCTCATTTGAAGTAGAGAAGGAGATCTTTGCGCTGAAGCCTATGAACTGCCCAGGACACTGGTACGACATGCATGGTTTTTATTTGTATAACGCTCGGCAGTGTAACATCCCTTTTGGGGGTATCATGTATGTAAAGCAAAACTCTAGCTAAAAAGAAATACAAAATTAACTGTCCATTTAAAGCTTTGGCTGCAATGCTCGCCTTCCGTCTAGAGCTGCACCTGCAGTAATTAATCTTTGCTACTAGATGTCACCAGTCTTCTGGGCTGCATGATGGCTGAATTACATCATTCAGCCTGCATTGTCTGAGCCCAGGTTGTCATGGACACGCCCCCCTGGGATGCCCCATCAAGGCAGCCTGGCCTCACCACGCTGCTGCACTTAATGGCGCTGTGGTTCCATCCATCCGGCCAGCCCTTATGTTACTATAGGATGCATAGGAAGAGGTGTTGTGACCAGGACAGGAAATCTCTCCAACAGACGCAGCAATAAAAGCATTCTCTTTTAGTAGGGATGTACCAATACTAGTATTGGTATCGGTGCAGATCCCGAGTATTTGGGCAAGTACTCGTACTCGCCCCGAATCCTCCGATACTTACCCCAATATTCCCTCTGACCTGCAGTGCCGTGAGGGAGCATGGAGCTGGCTTCACGGCCAATCAGGAAGCCGGGTGGTGGGTCATGACTCTGGCTTCCTGATTGGCTAGGAAGCCGGCTTCACTTGTTGCTAGGCAACCTGGCTTCCTGACCAATCAGGAAGCCGGGTGGCACCTAATGACATGGCGCCCGGCTTCCTAATTGGGTAGGAAGCCAGACTGCCTCAGAGCGTGAAGCCTGTGTTCATTCGATAGAACACCAGCTTCCCAGGCAATCAGGGTCATAATGATGATCCTGATAAGCGTGGCAACGGTACCCCGGGATTCAGCATAAGCGAATACCAAAAAAAAAATATCTGTACTCGTACTCAATACCGAAAAACCCTACTTTTTAGTACAGTACCGTAGGGGAAATCTGGAACCCCTGCCTGCCCATTATAGTCGTCTGCGTTCAGTTGGAGATTTCCCCACACTTCCTGTCTTGATCTCAATTATGTCACCTGGACAGGAAGAGAAGAAATCTAAATAACATCTCAGACTGCAATAAAAACGTGACAGAGGTCCAAACCCTTCCCCACTGTAACGGATTTACCTGGAGTTGCACTTAAAGCCTCTTCCATATCCATTTAGAGTTCCTACATTCACCAAACCATTTTCAGAGATGTCTCTGACTAGTGCTGCACAGAATGCAGCTATAGTGTTGTTCTTTTCTGCAGAGGATTAGCAACCATTGGGTGATTATGACAAGAGAAATGTAACCTTTCCTCTATTTTAGTTTGATGTTTGACAACCGGCCTCGTTCCTGGAGGGAGCTGCCACTGAGAATGGCCGACTTTGGAGTTCTACACCGCAATGAACTGTCTGGTGCCCTCACAGGACTGACTCGAGTCAGGCGCTTCCAGCAAGACGATGCCCATATTTTCTGTGCCATGGAACAGGTATGGTTTTTTAGACATGTTCTCGGCGTCCAGTTTAAAGCCTTCATTTTGTATCTCCAGATATCTTCCACTTTCAGTGGTGCTACCACTGCGCTGTAAGGGTTAGCTACCAATTTTTATCTAGGGGGACTCTTTTTAAAGCAGTTGTACTTGTTTGATCCCCGCTCCTCCAACGTTCAGCACTCACCTCTCTCCCCTCCACTCTAGCTGAGGAACGTCCCCTGGCATCCTCACGTCTAATGCAGGGCTACGGACCCTACATTAGGCATGATGACGTCAGCAGGCCTCCAACTGCCAGAGTGGAGAGGGAAGAAGCTGCAGACACAGGTTTGGGATTCTGCCCACGAATTGGGTAATTAAAAGTGCTTTAAAGAACCCACCCTAGACAAAAATGAGCAGTTAACCTATGTAGTGCAATGGAAGCCCCACTACAAGGGGAGGTTTTTTTTTCCATCCTGAAATAGGCTTTATAGGCAGTTATACATCCTGTTTCCTTAAAAGGAACCTCCCCTCCCGCCAGTCATGCAGGCTTTCCTCTTTCTTTGGAAAATCTAATGGCAAAATCTAATGGTTTAGATCTAAATCCTTTTGGCAAATCTAATGGTTTACATCAGGGGTCTCAAACTCGTATCACTCGGGGGCCAGTAGACAATTTTTTTTTTCCCATGGGGTCCGCTTGCCAAATTTCATACATTACACACAGATACGCACACACAGAAATATGCACAATCCCCCACAACCAGAACTACAAACCTTAATATACACACAATAAAGCCCCATTTACACCTGTATGTTTAGGTGCGATTAGGGATTCCTGCATCGGGAATTTGCATTTTCCTGCAGCAGGAATCCCTAATGTGGTGTTTAGAAGCTGCAGCTGTCACCCATTGAAGTTAATAATCAGGTGGCAACCGCTGCATGTAAACATGCTATAAGGTCTGTTGTAGACCTTACCAATCCATAATTTCTCTTCCTTTTCGGCCGGAGCTTAATGCTCCGGCCAAAAGGAACACAGAGCACACTCAGCAGCAGCTATGCGATCTGCATCTGACAGAGATGCAGACCCTGTAGCTGCT